ATAAGCTGAAAATGATGATTATGATACCGGATGTTCCATTTGAAATAAGAAAGATGCTACCACTTTTCAAATGATGTGGTAACATTGTAACGCTGAAAATATTTTAGATAGATGGAGCTACAAATCCAAATTTTCAAAAAATTTCTATTACACTCCATAAACGTCTAACGTGCCATCGCCGTGAATCACCCTATATAGGAAATAATTGAATCGAAATGTAAAAAAAACATAAATATAGAGAACATAAACAACTGCTAACAAATCGATTAGTCTCAATCATTTCAGACCATTCCGTTAATCAGTACCATATCCTAATACTATAAGATCGAAAAAAACTCACCTCACTTCACTATTAGGCGGTACAAAGTTAACCGGTTCAGTTAGTCGCATATAAAACAATATTTGTTTCATAACTTTAACTAATTTAAGTCTATTATGGTAAGACAGGAGAAATATAAGCAAAAACCTGTGAACAATGTCCTCCTATCGAAAAAAACCGTAACGTAGTTAGCGTTAGCTGGTCTCAAAGGCAAACATAAATTCTAAGCCGCTAATATTCAGGGATTAGACGGCCCTGTTTGTTTGTCTACTCTTAAAATTAATGTAATTTGCGCCACATTGATCCAAAAATCAAACTTTGCTCTGTTTACTTTTAATTACCAACGAAAATAAACAAGGCGGTAGGACAAAGTGTTGCCTCCGGTTGATTTAGGCGTCACAATGGATCAGAAAGTTCGCTGCTTACGATTTCGTATAATGCTGCGTGTACATGGGTTTTATTCGGGATTTATAAAGAAATAACATACCTCCAGATATTAATTAATATATTTGTTATACAGGGTTATTTACCACATACGACACGGAGTATTGTAACTAAACGATTAGATTTTTACAAATCGGAAGTCTTTGGTTTTGTTAAAGCACTATTAGAGCTACAATTTAACCATATTTTTACAAGATACAGAGTGTCCCAAATAAATAAAAAAATTTATAGTTGTGTTTTTTATTGGAACACCCTGTATATTATTTTATTTTTAGATTCTACGATTGAAATAAAGGTAAATTTCATTAAGGTTAATCATACTTTCCCTTGCCGTTTTTGAAATATATTCAATTTTGTGAAATTGTAGTAAAAATTCTAAAGCTTCATTTCTCCTAGGATATGAAAGTTTTTTATGCTAAATATTTACTGAAGTTTATTTATTGGTCTGATATTGTGTTGCAGTAATAAAAATAATACTGCCTTATACAGAGTGCTTAAAAAATTACATTAAATAATTACTAGCTCGAAACGACCATAACTTGTTTAGTTTAAATGGAATAGCCTGTATATGTATTTTACGAAAATCAGATGCACAATACTTGCACTATCAAATTGTTCAATCATACCATTTTTTTCCTACCTGTTCAAGTTTTCATAGAAAATGCATTTAGACCTCATTTAACAATATACCCATGAAATATTGACATTATAGATTTTTTAAAACAACAAATGTACGAAATGTACATGTGCTAAAAACGATATGCAATATTATCGAAATAAAAGAAAACTATTTAAATATTTTTAAAAGCGTATGCCAGCTTCTGCCCAAAAGTTTGTTAATTAGATAGTTAATTGATTTAGTTAATAAATTATTCTAAATAAATGTGGATTTGAATCAGAAATCCATATAACAATAAGATATGAAAATGAACGTCTGTGTTGTTACAAATAAGCATTCATCAAAAAATAAAATAAAATGTATAAGATGTTACTTTTTACCACACTGTCTAACAGATATACAAAATTCAGTTGTTTTTTAGTATTTGGAGCAATTATTATTAATCAACGCAGTATATTAACGCAGTATATTAATGTAGTTTGAATACTGGGACAATATTAGTCCGCTTTAGCATATATTTAAACAGTCTTTTTTATTTTTAAATAAAATAAATTATATCGACAATATTATTATCTGTACTCTTTGAAAAATTGTTACATCTTTCGAAATAATCTAAAATGTCAATATTCCATGGGTATATTTATAAATGAGGTCTAAATTATAAAATAATGCATTTTCTACGAAAAATTGAAGAGATTGGTAAAAAATAGTGTAATATAATTTCATAGATAATCAAATTTTGCATCTGATTATCGTAAAATATGCAGGGTGTACCATTTAAATTAAAGAAGTTACTGCCGTTTAGAACTAGTAATTATTTAAAATACATTTTTAGACACTCTGTATAAGGTAGTATAATTTTTATTATTGCAACACAAAATTTAGTAATTAGAAAAACTTCAGTACAATATTTGGTTTTAAAAACTTAAATACGCCTGAAGAACTAAAGCACAGAAGAAGAAATCTTCTGTGCTTTTAGACGTTTACGGAGAACCGGTTATAGCTGCTTCATCTATCTAAAATATTTTTAGGGCTTTCAATTTTCGGGAACGAGATTCCGTTTTGAAATCTCGGGATTAGAACGTATAATTCCGGGATTCCGGGATCCCGGAATTGACTATCAGAATGAAAAACTTAATCTAAAGAAATACTTAATAAAATGTAGCTACATATATCAAAAAGAAAATGAGAAAAGAGCTTTATTAAAATAGGCAAAACAAAGTAACATATTTATCTAGTGATTAAAAAAAAATTCTTGTTAAAAATAAAATATAGCAAACACGGAAATATAAGTTTTAGATATCGACGTTCTGCTTAATATAAATAAAATATGATGTTTGAAAGACTAAAGTGTATAAAGTTGAATCATTTTAAATTGGGAATTTAATTTTTTCGAAATTTGCAGAAAATGCATGGAGATATATACCTCCTAATAGTGGAGTGCTTTAAGCCTTTGTGGGATACAAACCTTGGAATTCATTTACTGTGAACGAATTTTTATAAAACTTTTTGCATTGTATTGTTAATAAGATATATATTACAAAGTTTACCCATTTAAATTCGTTGCTTTCACTTTAGTACCGTATGATCGAATAAAAACGGCGTCAACGATGGCTATGAAATGAAGATCGCTGTCATTTTATATGTAAAATTATATGGGAAATGTCATCGACCGTCATTTCCAAGCCAACTGGACGCCGTTTTTTTTCGATCATACGGTATTTAAATAAACACACATATACAAATGCATACATACAAGATGGTTCCGTATTCCGGAAAAGCTCTGTATCAGGATTCCTATTTGAGATTTTCACTTCAAACCTTTTACAAAATATGTGTTTAATGGTAGTTCGCATTTCAAAAATATTTTTATAGATATACAGGGCGAGTCAAATATATATCTATATTTGTTTAGTTCAGTGAATTTCCTATAAAATTCCGGTTCCAAAAATACATTAATACCATAAAGTATACTAAGTGGTTTTTGAATTATAACCACGTCCATGAGGATGTCAATCTAGACGTCCAGGAACCTTCGTATGAGAACTTCTAATAGAGACGATCGACTTATTGTAAGTTTATCGCTAAGAAACCCCCGTTTGCCAGCTTTTCAAATTGATAATGAATTGCATCTAAGGAACGTACATATTAACTAACGGACTATAAGAAAATTAAATGATGCAAATCTTATGTCAAGAAGGCTTGTTTTGGAACCAGAACTTACTAGATGTGTTGACTAGGCCCAAAAGCAAAGGCATGGTCTTAATGTAAAAATTACGAAAACATGTTAGTGCCTTCTTCAAAAGCGAATATTTCCAACAAAAGTCAAGCTAATGATATGAACCAAAAAACAAATGATCGAGAAAGGATGTATCTAGATGATAAAATGATTTTTAAATTTCTTGCTGTTTTAACATATTCCACAGGGTGTTTTAAACTTTCACCAAAATATCAACATTTTGTTTTCCCTCGTATAATTAACAGATGGGGAGTTTCATTATTAATTTAGAAAAAGATACTAAAAAGTCAAATAATTTGGCTACACACAAGTTTTAAAGTGCCCATTTATCGTGCCTGTGAATGTATTTCAAAAACTATACATTCTAGTCATATACTTTTCTAATAAAACAAACCTTTATTTTTTTACTAGAATCCAAAAATCAATTAATATACCTATAGGGTGTTCCATTACAAAATACATAACTTTGATGTGTAACTTTTTTTGGGGACACTTTGTAGAACTCTACATAATTTTAGAAAATGCATTAAATTGACTTACATAAGCTCACAAAAATTCACTTCAATACAAACTTTTGTTCTCCTTGCAAAAACCGCGTCGTATATGACGCACCACCCGTATAATTCGATTTCAATCAAAATTTCAATGACTAAAATTTAAGCAGAATAGGTATAGCTTATGCAATAGATTTATTTATTTCAATAAATTTACTTAGAAAAACAATTAAAAAAATCAACAAATTAAGAAGGAAATAATTAAGAATTTACTAAAATTACTAAAATAAAAAATTAAAAGCAACAAAAAAAAGGGGTAAACATTTTAGTATTTTATCTATAAGACACAATACAGAAGGTTTCACATTAATACATTCACAGTAATTTTGAATTTTGAATTCCGAGGTAAAAGTCTCTGGGCACTCTACTATAAAACGTTGAGCATTTTTGACGATTAGGCATTGTTTGTTTTAGGAGTAAAATACACTGAAAAGCTTGTTTCGTTTCGGAATCTGCGCAGAGGTGTTTTTTCAAAACATAGCTTTTATTTATTTTTTACCTATCTCTTTCATTGACATATTCATTTGAAATATCCATTCTCTTTTCAAGAAGCGAACTCCCACAAAGCTATAGACATTACTTTCAAAATAAAAGATTATTAAAAATAAATTATTAAAAAATAATGATTTTGATCTCTTATCACTTCTGACTTTTAAAAGAGGTATGAGTAAACAGCAATTGAATTTGTGTGTAAAAACACTTTCAAGTGTGTTGTTTAACGTTTGTTAAACAATAGTAAACGTTTACCTGATATTTTCTATTTTTACTTGGAAACACATCGGACGATAAGGAAAAAAATCCCCATTTGCCCTATTTAAATATATTATATATAAACAGGTATATAAATCAGTCGAGATATACATTTTTTATTAGTTATTGCAATCAATATCTACAGTTAAATTCAAAAATCACTCAAAATGAGTAAATTTATAATAATTTTAATAATTGGTGCATGCTTGGTTCACCAGGTAAGTTTTTTGAAATTCTAAAGCGAATATTATAGTTCAGCAAATGAAGGTTTAAACAACGCTATTAATTATTTTAAATTCGATACAATAAAAATTATACAGCAAAAAATCAGAGCTCACAAAAAATACAAAAGATATAGAGATCAGCTACATTATGATTTTTTTTCTAACCTGCGTAAGCAATCAAAACAACTCATTCTGCGAGACTACAAAGACTATTTAAGCAGAGTAGAAATGGATATGTCTAATAATCCTAAATGTTTTTGGAAGTATTTAAAAAATAAACGCAAAAATAATCACAATCTCCCACAACAAATGACTTACGACGAACGTACAGCCAACAGTGGGCCTGAAATTTGTCAGCTTTTTTCAGAATATTTTAAAAGTGTGTATGTCCTGGAACAGTCGCAGGATTATAACCCTCATTCTAACAGTATAATAGAAGATTATTATTTAATTGAAGAAAATGAAATTATGTCTGTCATTAATAACTTGGAGTGTCAGAAGGGCCCTGGCCCAGATGGCATACCTCCCACCTTTATAAAAAACTGTAGACATAATCTGGTAAAACCACTTCATTTTATTTATAACTTATCGCTTAGTAAGTGTTGTTTTCCTATACTATGGAAAACTTCTCATATTATTGCTCTCCATAAGGGTGGCGACAGGCGCAGTATAAAAAACTATAGGCCTATCAGTAAACTTAACATCTTTGCAAAGATTTTCGAAAAAATTGTTCACTCAAAGATATTTAACAGTTTAAAAGAAAAGATTATTGATCAACAGCATGGCTTTACTCCTGGTAAATCAATAGAAACTAATTTAGTCACTTTCAGTGACAACGTCATTGAAGCGATGGATGCTAGAACACAAGTCGATGTTATATACACTGATTTCAGCAAAGCGTTCGATAAGATCTGTCATAATTTGTTAATAAAACGGCTTGCGGATGCGGGTATTCCGGAGTCTCTGTGTCGCTGGATTAAGTCATACCTGACAGGTAGGAAGCAATCTGTTTTTGCGAATGGGTTTCTTCTCAACCTTTCGAAGCGACATCAGGTGTACCTCAAGGAAGCCACTTGGGTCCACTTTTTTTTATTATTTACCTAAATAATATAAACCAATGTTTTAAAACTGCACGCTTTTTACTTTATGCGGATGATTTAAAGATTTATGGTGAAATAAAAAGCCAGGAGGATTGCCATGGCTTACAAGAAGATCTGAATGGACTTGTCAATTACTGCCAAAGGTCTAGTTTATTCCTGAATTTAGAAAAATGTAATATAATAACTTTTACTAGAAATAAGACAGTTTTTCCCTACGATTACAAAATTAAAAATTGTGTTCTGAAAAGAGTTGAACAATTGAAGGATTTAGGTGTAGTGATGGATTCTAAAATGTCATTTAATTTTCATATAGAATATGTTATCAATAGCTGTAATAGACTTTTAGGTTTTGTTCTAAGAAATTGTAAGGATTTTAATAACCCTAAAACATTGCTCACGTTATATTATGCATTCATTCATAGTCGACTCAGTTTTGCGTCAGTAGTGTGGAACCCATATTATGTAACCTATGAAAGGAGATTGGAGAGGATACAGAATAAATTTTAAAACATCTAGCTTACAAATCTAATATAATTATTAGCCACGGAAATTTTACTTCCATTTACAAGCAATTTTGTATCCTACCTCTCTTTCATAGGAGAAGGGTAACTGATCTCATAACTTTTTTTAAGTGTATAACTGGTCGACTAAATTGTGAACAAATAATAGAAAAAATAACGCTATCCCAAAGAAACATTTACATCAATTTTCGCCACGACAATAATTATACCACACCTTTCCGTAAAACTAACTCAGGTCAGAACTCTCCTGTCTGTAGAATGATAAGAACTTTTAATGTATATTGTGAAAATGAGAACATTTTAGATATGTTGATATTTACGGTTAAGAAATACTTTAAAGATTTGTTTTTACGATTGTCATAAATTATAGTTTATATTTTTATTTTTTCTTTTGCTATTTTAGTTGGATTAAGTTAAGATAGAGATAAGTTTGTTATTTAAGTAAGTATAACCACTGTATATATTAGAATTAAGTCGAGGATGCTTTTTGGGGATTTTTTTCTGTTGCATCCCAGTCTTTTGTAAATAAATAAATAAGTAAATAAAAACGCGGTTTAATTCGTTGACCGGGACTTTTCTGGCGAATTGTGTACATTTTGGGAAGTAGTTTTAAGGTGTACGCGCACTGAATCGGTACCAGTCCGGCGAGAAACGGCGAAGGCGGTGATTCGACTATCGTAGATAGGTAGAGGTAGGAATCTGGCCTCTACAGGCCGAAATGTTTTAGTGGACGCCGGCGCCGTCTATATGTACGATGGTCGCAGTCGCTTTTGCTGGTCGGTCCGATCCGATGCAGTGCGCGCGGAGCCTTTGGGGACAGGATTGTAACACCGTACTCAGCCACTTTGGCCGAAAAAATAACCCCAAATGGCCCAAAAATCAGTTTATCACAAATATCTGCCGAAATGTTTAATATACAAATTTTTTCTTGGAATAAGAAATTAATTGCTGAGGTAATTATCTAATAAATTGGCTCTTGTAATTTGTTACGCAGAATTTGTAGTTTTCGAGATATTCCGCCACGAAGATCTCTGAATTTTCTCTCCAAGTTAGCGCCGAGGTTAACGCTCCGAATGTAGATTTCATAAGCGTTTCATTAATAGATAGGACAAATTATTTAATAACTCGGCTAAAATTTAATATACTTTGATGATTCAAAGCTCATTTAACGTTTTAACGTTTACATTTAACAAGGTATAAATCAACAGCATCATATTTTGGAACTTGTTTGAATTTTGTCATATTTCATGAAAATGAAAAAAAATGGGCAAACATTCCTTAACCCAAAAATTTTCAGATTTTTACAAATTTATTCATATTTTAACTAATAATAGCTTATTTGTGAAGATTTTTTTAACAGTTGTTTTTGGAGTCGCTTTAAGCAACTCAGAAAATTTGTTGTATTTGTTTAATCATATTTTAATAAAAAAAACAACTATTCGTGAGTAGTTTTTTCCGCTTTTTGGGCATTCCGGAAAGTGTCATAAACAAAAGAAAATTTGAATAATTACGAATAGTCGAATTGATTTCTTTTTACGAACAACATTACGAAAATACTGTCAGGATCTTTTTTAGCTAAGACCCAATCTTCAATATGGCGATCATGAAAATTATCTACATGCCATATTTCGGTCAATATTGGCGGAAACCCTGTTTTTTACCGTTTTACTGGTACTTTACTAAAAAAAGTGCCAGAAACTTGTTAATACACTTTATAGACCTGGGCCACAGTTTAAAGAATATAAATATATACAGTTCGCTCACTCTAAGCAATTCTATTGTTATTTTGACTTCAAAGGCGGCCCGTGACCCTTCGAGGTGACAAAAAATTTGTACGTTTACCGGGTGCAGCGGAAGTGCTATTTTATCAGTCAGAACGCTGGCCGTATACGAGGAATCAACTAAAAATACTAAGGAATTTTAATATATCAAGTAGAAAAATAAAAATACAGTACTAGTTTATTGATTGACAGTTTTAGGCGTGTTTAATAATTGATCAATATTTATTTACTTTCTTCTTATTATTATTTAATAACATATCTCATAAACCGCAAATTCTAATACGGTTATGATATTGTTCTGGTGTATAATTTTCATATCTGTGAGATCTCCTATAAATCCTAAGGCACTTTTCCAGGCTCCATACTCAGACTCTACTTATACATATTATGGTGAATACATTAATATTAAAATATTAGATATATTATTCTATCATAATTCTTTGGAATATGGAATTGTCATTAGGGGAATTATTATTAATAATTATTATGGAAATCATAGTTTTTATTATAGAAACCTAGCCACAGTTTAAAGAATATAAATATATTTATATTCTTTAAACTGTGCCTAGGCTTCATTTTTTATTCCAAGAAAAATTTTGTAAATTGCATATTGGCAGATATTTGCAAAAAGCTAATTTTTAGACCATTTGGGGCTATTTTTTCGGCCAAAGCATTTCATAAGCACAATTTTTTGTTACAAATTTTTCGCTTAAAACTACTACCCAAAAGGTACACAATCCGCCTAAAAAGTAAAGGTCGACGAATTACACCGAGACTTGGGTCTTTTTGTGTCCTTATTTATTGGACACAAATATTTTACAAAAATTAAAGTAATTTTCTTTTTATTTGCAATTACAGAACTTGGCTGGTACACAACTGAAATCTAGTAAAGATGAGGCTAAGAAAGCATTTCACAAATTGATGGAAGAAATCGACAAAGCACTGACATCAGCCCAAAATGCTTTGAATAAAGCAGTGGATAAAGTGAAATCCGAAGCAGCTGAATTGGAAGGCAAGGCCAATAGCGAACTGGATAAGGTTCTGGACCCTCTAAGGACAAAATTGAACAAACTAGTTGCTGAGGCAACAGCCAAAGGTATCGATTAAAAATATACAAGATATTCAAACAGATACTTCAATAGTAACATTTTATTAGCGTAATTTACCACACCACTTATTTTTTATTTTATTATTAAAAAAGTTATATTTTGTTAAAAAATAAATTACCACGACAGATTTTTTTTACACTACAATACAGTACCCGACAAGTACACGGCCAAATTTCAGGGTCTGATTCTTCATCAAAAATATGAAAAAAAGTTACTTAAACATGGGTCTGGTTATGCGTAACTTTAAAGATATAGGATATTAAACTTTTATTAAAATTATTACCAAACTTCAGTGGCGTACCTGAAAACACCATATCGAACTTATTTGTGAAAAATATACACCACTGAATTTTCTTGCAGTTTTTAATTATTTCAGACAAGGCAACCAGAAATACAATTTTTTACTCTTTTATATGCCATTCTAGAAATATTTTCGAGAAAAAAAAACATTGATTGCAGGTCTCTGGATTATTAAAAAATACAATTTGACTAACCTAACATTACTAAGATAAAATACTACTAAAATAACTGCTAAGATAATTTCCAACAAAACTATCTTCACAATTTGGCGGTACATTGTTTGAACAGCCTGTATAACGGGCGCGTCTCAAAAATGGCTCACCCCTATAACTTTTTTATTTTTTTAAGATAAAAAATCGATATTTGGTATGTTAGCATATGACATAAATTAGGATTGACTGACGTATTCAATTGTTTTCTGTCGCTTCCTGTTTCACCGGAAATGATTACAACTTTTGATTTTTAAATAACACCCTCGGTAGTTAGTTACTTTATTTGATAGAAAATGACAGTCTGAATAGAATAACATATCATATGTCAACTTTTTACATTTTCGAATATGGTTTACCTATTTGAAATTGCAACATGCGATTCATAACGACAATTTTACTCCAATTACCAGGTGTGTGGTATCAAATTATTCGTAAAAAAATGCTATCCTAAATATGCTAATGAACCACCCTCGTTCCATTTGAAAAATTTGAGATATGATTAAAAATACGATTTAGGTATCTTTTAGCCGCTCAGGACAAGCCACTAAAAACTTTAGAAGATCAAATCTATTTTTTCAAAGCTCCTTGATTAAAAATTAATGGTTTTAACACGGCCATAGCACTCTAGATTGAAATTTAAAGTACAATTTTATTTTAAGTAAAAATGTCAAAAGTTAGCATATGATATATCAATCTATTCAGATTGTCATTTTCTATCGAATAATGTCAAAAATACCGGGGTGCCATTTAAAAATCAAAACCTGTAGTCATTTCCGATGAAACAGGAAGTGGCCAGAAAGTATTGAATACGTGAATCAATCCTAATTTATGTCATATTATACTAACAATTCAAATCTCGTTTTTTTATCTGAAAAAATAAAAAAGTTATAGGGGTGAGCCACTTTTGAGACGCACCCGGTAGAATAATATGTTATATTTTATATTTTATAGTTTTCAATCCATAAAAAAATCGTTTTTTCCATATTTTAGCGTTTGTTATAATAAAAAATATAAGAGACATCAGGTTTTAAGAGAGAACTACTTGAAAGTAAAGTAATTTCTGACTTCCATTGTTTTTATTTATTTACATAACTTACATACATTACTTTAATTGTTGTCATGTTTTTCAGGTTTTGATGTGTCCAAGTGTCAAAGCTACGTTGACGGCTTTTCGAATATTCCAGACCAACTAGTGACCAATTTGGGAGAATGTGTTACCACTCAAGTTGAAAAGGCCCAAGGTTACGTGAACGACGCGCTGAACAGCGCCAAGAAAATCGAAGAGGACCTAAACACTATTGATTCTGACATTGATAACTGTGGAGGAAACGAATTCAAAAAAATCAAATGCTACGCCAAAATTATCGAAAAAATTGAGAAAGATACGAAAGATGCTCCGGCCCATATCGCGGAAGATGTAACAAAAGCTACAGCATTGGTAACTGAAATTGTTCCCGTTTTGGAACAGTGTTTTACTGACAAGTTGAAAAAAGCGGGCGAGGATGCTACCAAAGATGTGGCTGATTTTGCTGTCTGCGCTGCACTTTAAAATATTTTCGAACGTTCTTAAAATTTAGTGATTGATTTTTTTATATTAAGAAAACAATTAATAGGACCTTAGCTATAAGCAGTTATACAGAGAAGACCAGGCTACTAGTAACACAGCAAGTTGCCGGACGAATTTACGTTTACCCGTTTTGCGTTCGTACTCGAGAGTCACTGCCGGCTAGTCGGCTGGTCAGGCAGTACGCAGTTGCAGTTGTGCTTGGACGGGTCGGTCGTGACAGACTAGGAATATGACGCGAATGCCGAATATTTATTATTTTCATTTTAAGTGTTTACCTTCACTTGAGGTAACATTTAAAATAAGAATACTTAAATATTTATTATTTGAGTGTGTTTACAAGCCAAAACTAAAAATAAGTAAATTCTCTAAACCCAAAACTCATTTCCAAAATTAAAAAATACATCAATAAAATACAAAAAAACTAAAATATTACTCTAAATGAAAAAAAGTTATAACAAGTGTTCAAAAAGACTACCTTCTTGAGCCTAGGCGGTCGTAAAATCCCCGTCTGACATTGGCTAATATATTAGGACTAATAGTTTGGACAGCCTCTCGTATTTTTACTTGAAGCTCATCCAGATTATTAGCCCTATTATGACCATACACTTTGTATTTTACATAACCCTACAAAAAGAAATCATTGGGAGAAAGATCTGGTGATCTAGCGGGCCACAAAATAGTTCTATGTCCACTAATTAAACGGTTGGGAAAAGTATTGTTCAAATATTCTTGAACAATACAGGCATTGTGATCTAAATTGGACTTTTCCAATACAGATTCACAAAACGCCATACGCCGAAATTGGTCTTCATGGAAAATTTGTTGAGTTTTGCGCGCTTTATACGATCGGTATCCATTCTTTTTAAGAATTCTTTTATCCGTGCTAGGTGAAGAATCAGCTGTTACCTCAGCAATTTGATTACTTAAAAACGTGGGATTTTGATCCGCGGTAGCACAAATGAACACTTGCTTTAACTCCTGTTCTTCATTAATCAACACATCAGGATTTTTGTGTTTTTGTGGGGACACGCACCCATGTGTTTCAAAATTATTAATAACTCTTGATATAGTAGGTAAAGATGGAATTAGCCTGTTTACAAAAGTTTGTGGAAAAATTGTTTGTATATCCCGATAAGACCTATTTTGGAAATACTATTTTATATTTTGAATTTTCTCACGAACTTCGTAAACATCTATTATTTTACTTAAAAAATAAATTTTACACGAGAGCTGCCGCGAGAATCTATGTATTCGTTTTGGCTATTAAAACAGGAATAAATACAACATCGCATTTTTTCGCCTGCTTTTTATCCGGCGGACGGGTATACGCTAATTCGTCCGGTTCTGTCTATGTTACTACTACGGTGGTCCGGTCTGTATATATGTTGTAGCAAGTGTTTGTTGTGGTAAGTGATAAAGTTTTTATAAGAGTTTTATGTACGACTGAAGTCACTATAAATCAAAATTTGTTGTCTTTTTCTGTGATGTTTTATATCGATATAAAATATAATATTATTGGTAGATATTTACCGACAGAAGAGGGCCAAACATTTAGAGAAGATAATTTAGTCTTCTTCCAGTGGTTCAAAACGTTTTTTGGATATTTAAAATATTCTGTTTTGTTTCTTTTATTATAATAAGTTCGGTATGATTATATTTTTTGGCAAAGAGTTGGCAAAGTTGTATATTTTTTTATTTTGAATACTAAAAATGTTTCGCTTGGTTCCTTTTTTATTATACATTTAAAATTTTTATGTGTTAATAAAGTAAATAAGTTTTAAAAATGTTGTTATTTATTGTTTGTTGTACGTTCTCTAGGTTAAACATTCCTACGTGGATAAAAAAAATTCAATCTCAAATCTACTTTTAAATAGTTAAATTCGATTGTTAAAAATTAAAAATACAATAATAGAGTAATATCCTTCTTTACGCTGTAGATGCGTTCTGCAGAAAATCCCGTAAAGCGGAATTCACGTATATCTGGGTTCAAAAATTGATTAATTAATCTTTATAAGTTACGTACTTTCTCAAGGAAACAAGAGTTAAAACCAAATATATTTTATTTAAAACCAAATATATTTTCTTTCTCGCAATACAATTGTTATAAATAAATTATATTAATTTATTATTTAATAATATGTATTTATATTTATTTAAAATTGTAGGTATCTAAAAATCTATAGATTTTCGATTTTTTTTATATAGTACACAGGAATGAATTTAGTATAGCATGATATACATAGTATCTAATTTCTAGTGTTCTTATAAGACCGCTTTACATTTATTATAACAATCATAATATTATACAATATTTTTTTGGATAATACATTTAAACAAAACATAAAACAAATGATTTAATTTTGATATTACAAGATGGAATATATAAAGGTAAATTACTTAGAAACATTAATTAATTTCTAATATGCATTAGACTTGATATAAATTAATATACTATGTACACATTAGTATCAAATGTGGACGACAGTGGGGAGTAATGCATATCAGACCACTAATTGTAATATAAACTGATATGACAATGTCCTATTGTAGGTATTAACTATATTAACATTTAAGCAAATAATACCTACTTGTTTCTGTATATAATGTACTTGACACAACTACGTTAATTACGTTTACCAACAAATGTTATTGAAATCATCAATGATTAGTACCTAGATTTTAATATTTCTAGATACAATATTTGTATATTTATTATTAATATAATTTTATTAATAATATTTCTGTTTTATTTTTATAGTGGATATAACAATTTAACATGAGTGTCAATAAATTAAAATATTTTAATTTAATCTAAATAAATAAAACAAATAAGTTTAGTCACACCATTTATAACTCAAGAACGGCTGAACCGATTCCCTGGCTAATTTGTTGTATTCGTATCTACTCAGAATATTCCGTAGGTCGAATTCGCTCGTAACTGACACGGTACCCCAAATAATCAATTTCGGTTTGTACAAAAAAACACTTATCTAATCTAAAAGTTAATTTTGCTTGCCCGGCTAGTCTAAATACCTTGTTTAAAATTAACAAGTGATCTTCCAAGGTCGCTGTCGCAATTAAAAAGTCATCAAAAAATTGTATCATTTCACCACTTTGCAAAACTTTGGCGAAAACTTTTTTGACAAACCTTCCAAATACTTTTGAGGCATTTGTCAACCCAAAAGTGCAAAATAAAAATTCATATTGTCCCATTGGAGTTACAAATGATGTAAATTTAATTGAATCGTTAAAAACATATCGTTTGTTTTTTAATAAATCAATGTTATCATCGATTAGCGGACTTGGAAAATTATCTTCGACAGTGATTTTATTTAATTCACGATAATCAATACATAACCGGGTCTCACCATTTTTCTTACGCACTAAAACACTCGTTTATAATCAATTGCAATTTATCCTTATCAGAATACGAAAGTCGCCTAGGTCTAAAACTTATGGGTTGATTGTGGTTCAATGCAATTTTCATTTCAAAATCAATAGTATTTAACCCATAATTTTTAACCTGTAAATAGTCTGAATACAAACATTCAATCTCTTGAACAACCTGATGGTCAATTTTCTGATTAATTTGCAATTTATCCGATATTTTCAATGAGTCAATATTAGGTTCAATATTCATTATTTGCTTAGCCTCACAATTAAATTCTTGTGTTAAAGAGACATCATGTCGTGTAATCTTTGTTATAATGACACGGTCTCCCAGTGTGACTGTGATAGAGGGTTGTGACGAAAAATCGCGTCCAAGCAAAGCCATAAAAGCCATTGTTTGATTTTGTACAATATAAAATTTTAATTGAAAATCAATATTCTCAATTTTAACTTTACAATTAAAAATATCAATGACTTCTAATCGTGAACCATTTATGCCACAAAACTCCTCATCATTCTCACAAATTGGCAACCGCGCCTCTAAAGGTACAAAACTTTCCTTAATCAAACTAATTGGTGATCCAGAGTCCAAAATACAAACTCTTACAAACTACTTCATAGCTTATAAAAACCATATACGGGGTGCTGTGTGCAGTCTGCAGCAAATTGGTAGAGGTTGAAGCAGGGGACTCCTCCTGGGCCTTAGTTGATAGACGAGAACTCCGCCGCGGACACTCACGCACTTTATGTGAAGTTGACCCGCACTCAAAACACGAACCAAAAGATATTTTAGGTTTTTCAAATTTTGTCGAAATATGTCCGGTCTCTTGACAATTAAAACACCTTGGCTGCCTAGTGGCAATGGAAGAGGGTTGATTAGGTTTAAAACCACCCGCACTGTACACTTTATAAACGTTCATGATTTCTTACAGTCCGATGTGATTTTTTCAAAGGCTTCCAACAAGTCGGCTCCCGATCCAAAACGTAAAATACGGGCTTGATCTCGAAGTTGTCGATCCGAAATACCATCAATAATATAGTCAATCATTTCATCTTTGCCAATTGGTACTTGATTGCCAAATATTACCTTGTCATGATAATAATCAGTAAATCGCTCCCCAGTTTTCCATTGTCTATTTTCAAATTCTCTTCTCAATAACAATTTACTAGGACGGTGTTTAAACATTTGTTCCATAGTTTCCAACAAAGTGGAAATATCCATTGTTAGGTGACTTGGTTTTGAATGAAACCATGACAAAGCACGTCCTTTCAATTTAGAGCTAATTAAAACTCTAGCAGGGGGCATTATCATCCAATTGATAAGAAGTACGTAGCAATTGAACCTGCTGCTCCCATTTTTCAAAATAATTGCGACAATCAAAATCGCCCAAATAATTGGCCGGCGTAGAACTAGCAACACTATGGCCTCTTTCCGGAGTTTCACGTTGAGAATTTAGCAACTCCTGTTCCCGTCGAAGAAGTTCGACTTCCCTTCGTACCAATTCTTGTTCACGTTTTAACATGTCTAGTTCCTGCTGAGCCAATTTTGTCGCCATATTTTCCTCTTTCTTTCTGGCCAATTCTTCCTCATGTCTTTTAGCCGCCAATTGTTCTCTTTGCTGCCTTGTTCGTCAATTCCTCCCAAATATTTTCAGAGGTTCTCTCCAATCTTTCAATAAGTTCAACTTTACTGCCAGTCACAGGTAAATTTCGGAGTCCCAAACACTCCTTAAATTCATTTACGGTCCATTCATGTGATGACATCTTCAATCAATTCAAAATCAATTCAAAATAGAGCAGACGCGGGAAAAATAAACACAATCAATAGGCACCAATGCTCGTTTGATTCTTCCACAATAGCTGACGTCAGTTCTCCAAAAACACAATTTCAATTTTCAAATAATACACAATCTTGTCACCGCGTCAAACCGATGCAAAAAAATTACAAAAGTCACAATAATTTTCGCGTACCGTGTAATCACTTATTTACTTTAAATCCCACTTCTAAAGTTTGTAGGCGTTTCCGGGTCAAAATAAAAAATAAAATTTAGATTTATGATGGCTTATATTGAGATGAAACTGCAGACAAAATAATTACAAATAATTGATTACAAAAAAAAATACTTAAGTGATTACGCCAAAAAAAACTGAACCAAACGGTTCAAGACAATTTCTCAACTGAACTTATATTATTTTTTAAAACTTAAACAGTCTCGGGACCGCTGCCGTTGCTTATTCAGCGATATGGACTCTTTGATACTTTTCTCCGAATGGAGATTGTGACAAATATTATCGGTTACCCGTTTAGACAAAACATTTAATTATTCTTGACGAAAAATATAAAATTGCCTACAATTATAATTTCTTCTTTTTAAAAAAGAGAACCTTTTTACATAAAAAAAATGGCGGAAATGTATATT